TTGTTTGTTTGTTTGTTTGTTTGAACGTGCTAATCTCAGGAACTACTGGTCCGATTTGAAAAATTCTTTCAGTGTTAGAAAGCCCATTTATCGAGGAAGGCTATAGGTTATATATCATCACGCTAAGACCAATAGGAGCGGAGCACCAATGAAGAATGTTTCAAAAACGGAGAAAATTTATTACTATTGAGAGACGCAGACGAAGTTGCGCGGGTCAGCTAGTATGTCATAAAGCATTTGTAATTATGTAAAGTTTCAACCTTCTCCAGTTATACTTAAATGTGTATACAAACTTCCACAACCTTAAAGGATGGTTTCTGGGTTAAAAACTACCCTACGTCCTTCCCCGGGCCTCGGACTATCTCTATACCTAATTTAATCTAAATCGGTTCAGCAATTTTCTGTCAAAACGTAGGTAATCTTATCTTATATTTTATAAATAACTATTTAAACTTATTCATCCCATAAAATAAACATTCATTTTAACAAGCAAGTACGAAAAGCTGAAATTTGAACTCGTGCACACATTGTGTCCGTAAATTTTTTCGATAACCAAAGCACATTGAATTCTAAAGTTATGTACGTAGAGTGTATTTCCAATAATTCGAGTGCAGCGATAAAATCTTAATTGTGGAGAAACTTCAGCGACCTGGTTTTAATGAGTTCGTAAGTGGTACACTCTGTTATAAGGGGATACTAATGGTTTATGTATGATAGCGAAGCGGTTTGTTTAGTACTGCATGAAAAGTTGAGTAACAGGTGTTGAGAAAGCTTCGTGAAGTTTCTAGAAATACAAATAGTCCTGAGCTTGCTTACTTTAGTCAAGAAGAATATTATATACAGTTCAAAAAAGATCCTGTACACTTAGTAAAATATAAAAGATGGTTATAAGAAGATTTACTACAAAATTTTTAACGTACAATAATTTAACGTTCAAGTGTTGTCAACAAAACGCATTCCTACTTTTTCTAAACTTGCCATGCATAAAATATAAATTTCATAAAAAACCATATGTTTAAATGGATTTTTATGAATAATCTTACTAAGTAGTAGGTATATTTAGCAGCGAAAACAATCATTTTTTTTATTTACTAATGTTGACTATATACAGATGTTACAGATTCGACGAAGTAATAAAGAAATGAATTATTTTAAATCTATTAATTTAAGGAAATAAACTATACATTTTTGTTCAAATCAAATAATCGTAAACATTATGTAAAAAAAGTAATTTAACTGATTTGACAGGTCATTTTGACAGGACAGGTAATTGATGGATCAAGAAAATCGTGAACGAATGATTTTGATATCAATAATTATTTGATCGAAACAATACTAAGATACCTGGCTACGTTAACTTCTTGATATCAATGATAACTTATTTGTGACAGATACCTGTCAGGGCTATCGACTTCAGTATATGAAAACTACAAACTATATCATTTATTATTATTTTAAAAAGACAACTCACGCATGAGGAATACATTCCTGTGTCGCGGGGGCCTTTACAAACATACCTGAAACGGACACAAAGAACACCCAGACTCAGAACAACAATTTGTGGATCACACAAAGTGTCGTCCCATATGGGTTTGAACCCACAACACTCAGCGCAGCAGGAAGCAGCGTGGCGTCCGCTTAAACCACTACACCATCCGTGCAGTCAAATAACTTTTAACGGCAATGTTCTAAAATTAAAACTGTAATTGTCGATGATATATCAAGCTAAATAAATACAACAATAATCCCTACCATGAGTTACGCAAGGCGGTACAAAACTCCCATACATGCCTGCCATTTAATTTACAAAATAAATTGATTAAAATATTAAAGAAATCGTAGTTATTTTTTGGGTTCGCGCCACATCACATCAACAGCCTATAATAGTCCACTGCTGGACATATACCTCTCCTTAGAAAGGATGATGGTAGATTCTGACAGGCCTGTTGGTACAAGATTGCTTCAACAGCAGTCCGATGTCTATAATGACCTCATAGACGAATGGCAGCAACGCTGGGACGAATCATCCAAGGGGCGCCATCTTTACCAATTTTTTCCATCTGTTCGCGAACGGTTGTCGAGGACATGGCTTGAGGTGGATCACTGTGTCGCTCAATTTCTTACGGGTCATGGTAACTTTAAAAGCAAGTTGTATTCATTTAAATTAGTCGAGTCACCATTGTGTCAATGCTCAACACCTAACTCTCATTATGAACAATCTGCTCATCATATCCTCTGGGAATGTAGTCTTTGGTATAATGAACGTAATATAATGCTGAATAGCTTGCAGGTGACATCTGGGGCGTTATACTATGGGGATCTTGTGTCAACATATTATAGAAATCAAATATAGCTCATGTAGGACCCGTAATACTTTGTGGCCGTGGTGCTTCCCAGTTTAAAAGGGTGTATGCCTATTTTACTTCATTTTGTCTCCCGCTTTGCTAAGGAGGGAAGTGGATTTACTGTATTTCCAACTCCTCCAATTTTCTTCTGATTAATTTCGTTGCGGGTTCCAAGACAGTTTAATTTCTTCCTGGGACTTCCCGAGTGTCATAACTCGGTGTGTTCGTGGGTCACTGCTGTGGATCCTGGTGTACAGGAGTTACAGTGGTGGGCGTGTGGGTGGGATTAGTCCCAAACAAAGGCCTGTTGGTAACTGACCCTAACTGCTGCCAGAGATCGTGGGTTCGAATCCCACCCAGGATAAATATTTGTGTGATGAGCACGATCATTTGTTCTGTGTTTATCTAGAATAATAATAATAACTTCTCACATCTCACACACGGCTGTCTGATTCTGATGATGGGATATTGATTGTTGTTAATACTTGGTAGGTACGTCACAGGTTAAAAACGATTTGTGTATTAACCTTTATAACTCTTGCATGTATTAATTATTTATGTCTGTCAGTAGTATGTATTTTGCAAGCGTATTTAATATGTTTTTTTTATAAATACTCGTATATTAATTATCTAAGTAAAGTATTATAAAGTACACCATAGATTATCCTAAATCAGATTCAACAATATCCGTGTAAAGGTTGTCTGTAAACGATCGTCGGGAGCGATAAGACCGCCTATTGTAATACCAAAAGGTAGATGTCCCTCAATGTCTGTACAATGTATACTGTAGTGGTATATCTTATAAGATGTATAAATATATAAATATGTATATATATAAAACAGCTGTCTGGTTATCATATTTACTCTGCGTAGTTTGGGATCAGACAGCCGTATGTAAGATGTGTGAGGGTATTATTATAGGTAGGTACCTGCTTCATCTTTTACAAGAGCTATAATTCGATATAAAGGATGCTAGTGAATTATTTAACAGCTTTTAAATACTTTAATACTGATGTCATACAGCCTACGTTACTTTTAATATGCAGTGCGTGTCCTACTATTTATGCATATAATTTATACAAATCACTTAGTCTATCAATGCATACTCGTAGTGTTTTGAAATCATCGCTCATTTTGAAACTACTAAACAGAATGAAGAGTCTGAACTCTTCGAATGAAAAAACTAAAATATTAAATTTAAAAAAAAGGATGTCGTACTTTAACGATAAAACAGCTACGTTTTAACTTAAAAGACAGTTTGTAGCAGAGTTAAAAGCAAAGCCTAAAGCGATTTTTTTTATAATTTCCAATTAATAAATAATTTATTTTGATTACATTAAATGCGTCCGATGTATGTAGCCAGGGTCAGTCGGTTGTGGTGGCCTCCCGTAGCCCGGAGATTCTTCGCACCCCAGCCCCCAGCCCCCCAGTTAGAAGCCCAAAATCGATCTAAGTGGCGTGCAATGGGAGACGCTTATGTCCAGCAGTGGACTGCGATAGGCTGCTGATATCAAATGATATCAAATGCGGAAAATTGACACGTTAGAAATTAATAGAAAAAAATGAAATAATTTAGTTAATGTAATATAAAATTATTTAAGTGAGGGATTGGTTTTTATGCCAAATGAAGTTCACAACCTAAGCTGTAATTTAAAGTCCTTACAGAAAGTAAAACCCAAGTTTTTAAATACCAAAAGAACACGAAGATCTCTTGTTCTCTACACGCGCTTTTAGGCAGTCATAAACGTATGTATGTTACTTTATTTCTTTATTATTGCTAGTATTCTTCGATTGCGAGTTATAAAACTTTGCTTTAACTACATATATCAATATAAATAATTTTCACATAACACTACAAAGCTCAGGACCTTGATGTTTTCTGTAAACGCTCATGGAAAAGAGTCTAGTAGCTATAACGATATCAGTTAAAGTTTGAATTTGATCAAAGTTGTATTTCGACAAATTTTTATTTATTTGAACACGAACGTCTTTAAACCTTTACGTAATTCCCTTCCCTCATCTTAAATGTACTTTGAAAAAGGTATAAATTTTGTAAATGCTCAAAATTAATATAAAACAATCGTTGCATAAAATTTGTATTAATCAACTCATAATTATGTATGAGTATTGATTTTTTCCATTATAATTATGCATAATTTGAATAATAATTAAACTTTATTATTTATTTAATATTTAGACGTTTTCTTACACGTCTAAACATAATTAACGTTTATCTAACTTATACTTTTTTCTTATCTAAGTTTAGTGTATTAGTTATGATTTTTGATTTTAATTGTTATAAACACCAATTTTCATTTCTGTTAAATGTTTAAACTATTTATGTATATTTTCTGTAAATATTTATATTGTGTCATAAGTATAACATAAATAAATATAATTATGTGCACAAATAACATTAATAAAATAATACAATAAATGTAAATACATAACTATTGCCATCGTTGATAAGGGCTGACTTAAAATGTAAAAAGTTCCTTCGTTTTAAAAATATATTAATATTTTTGCTTATAACTAAAATATAACGGATCGCTTCTATTTTGAGTAGCTTAAATTTAAGGGGTTAAAAATAATAAAAGTTAATCCAACCTTAAATATTGGAAGCTCTTCGATGAGTATACCGAAAAATACACTTACCAAATGCATTTTGACACAAGGTCACAAAAGCAAGTATGCACACTGGAAACCACTTCATCATCACAGAATTATCAGACATACAGGCAAGTAAATGTTTTGACTTCACTTCGATTTCACTTTGTTTACGAAATCACCGAGCCATTTCAATTAATCACTGTAATATTTAAAAGTCGATTCAGTTATTTTAATACAAGAATGATCCATGGATCCTTATTTTGAAAGAGCGCGGCGCAGGAGTGCGAGCCGTACGCGTACGAAGCGCGATCTATTTCGGTCGCGTTCGCACTGCACCGTCTCTGTCTTGGCATAGATTATTTTGTCTACAGAGGCGGTACAACGCCATATATTTTAAACCAGATAAGTGTTCTAAGGCATCAAATATCTCTTACTCGGTATGACATCATATGCACTATGACGTCATACCAAGTTTATAGACTATCTAAATACTATAATTTGTTGTTGTTAAACTTTGTATGGATGTTTGTTATCCATCTTTTTTTTACTATCTTATATATAAAATTCTCGTGTCACAATGTTCGTTCCCATACTCCTCCGAAACTTGAAAAGGCTTGACCGATTCTCATGAAATTTTGTGTGCACATCGTGTAGGTCTGAGAATCGGCCAACATCTATTTTTCATACCCCTAAATGGTAAGGGTGACCCATCCCTAATTTTTTCTTGTTTTGCAATACAACGTTTGCAGGGTCAGCTAGTATTAATAATAATTCAACCAAGAAAAAATGTCAAATCCATTAAAAAAAATCCGATCAAAATAAGTAGACATAAACTTTTAATAGGTTAAAATTGTTTTTTTTCTATTTATTTTTATTTATTTATTTACTTTATTTGCATACCGTTACAATATTTATTTTTACAGATAAACGCATGGGACCTAACAATATTGGTAAAACAATTGGTAGTCCTATCGTTCACGGTGATCTCTTACGGACAGTTTAAACCAATTTATTAAGAAATTTTCAAGAAAAGTTTTCTTGAAATTTTTCATCAGCTACTTAAGATCTATTTGTCAACTTTAATTAATTTCTAACAAAGAAATAAATTAAAATCCTCGTTCGTTCTAAGCTGAAATACATCCACTGCTGATAAAGGCCTCTCCCAAGGTTCGGTTTAAAGAATTTTATTTCTCATACAAAGTTAAAAGTAATAATACAATGCAATTACCTCTAGAGTATTAGAAGTTACATGTCAAAATTACATATTTCTTCACGTTATCGCATTATTTTATATTGGCCGGTAATCTGTTAAACAGCTGTGCTCCCTCAAACAATATGTTTTTTTTTACCGTAATTAGTGCCTGAGCGGATAAGTTCAAGTTTGTTCTTATTTCTCAAATTATTTGACATTGTTTTATATTACTTTGGATCGAGTTAGTGATAATGTTTTTGACAAGAATACAAGTTTTTTTTTAAGACAACTCCCGCATTAAGAATATATCGTGTGTCGCGGGGGACTTTACAGACATACATGAAATGAACACAATGAATACCCAGACTCAGAACAACAATTTCTGGATCTCACAAAATGTCGTCCCATGTGGCGATCAAACCGTAGACGACCGTCCAGTCGAATATTAGTAAATATATAGCTGCCTAATATTTAATAGTTTACTTTTATCGTATAGGGTTTTTGTTGGAGTGGGGTGATGATAATGGAATAGAATTTTGCTTGTTTTATTTTGGACTCTTTGAAGTGAATTTAAATTAGTTACCGCTGCTGTACCCCATATTTCAATTAAATAATCTAAATGCGATTTAACTAGCGAGTTATAAATAAATTTTGCTTGGAATACAGTTTGTTCTTCCGGAATGCTCCCAATAATGATGTAAGTTTGTTTCTAAAATGGTCTGATGATGTTTTTTATAATTTCCAAGTTAGTCAAACTCAAACTTTCTTTATTTCAATCAATTTTGAAAATTGTTTGAAATCGTCTTTTATGTAGACTCTAGTCATACATCAACACACACAATGGCAACAATCTCTGTTTTGTCAAATAGTAAGCAAATAAATTTAATAAAAATTAAACATACAAAATCTATGATATGCCTGTGCCGATCTACAACTGCCCATTTCCAAAGGGTTGAGCCTCATGAGAAAAAAGGGCAAACAAACTCATAGCTACTCTTTTGCAATTTACAGATAGATTCAATGACAGTATTAAATATTCAACATAATTTTTTGTCTGCCCGTAATCCAAGATATTTTTTACGTTACGTTACGTTAGGTGACCGTTTTATTATTTCGTTTATTACATAGGTTACAATAATCGGTCTTATGCTGAATTTATTAACTCAGGAGACTTGAAAAATAACTTTCCTTTCCGGATCTACAAAGTTTTTCGTTAGTAAAACATTATTATGTACTGGATACAAAATACGACCTTTAAACCTTCAAGAAAAGAGCGTACTTCTTCCTAAAAGGCCAGCAATGCGTTTGTGACTCCTTAGTTGCAGGCGTTCATGGGTGGCGGTAGTCACTTTCCATCAGGTGACCCTTATGCTCGTCTGTCCCTCTTCCATAAACAAAGATAGGCAGAAAGTTAAAAACTAACATCGCATCTGAGCATTAATCTGGTCGCTACCTCCCACCACAAGATTGTCGGCTGACTAAGCGGAATGTCTCAGGACATGTTCAAATGTCCTATTTCAGTCTAAGAAGTAGGAACAATGTTAAGATAACCAGTTATTCGATCGAGAAATTATCGAACCGTAAACTTGCATCTTAAATCAAGTGCACCTGCAAATCTTAAATCAAGAACTTATTGACGAGATTATTCTCGTCAATAAGTGCACTAGTTTCTTTTTGTAACTACTTACAGTATATATCTATAAAATAATATAAATATAAATCGTCATCTATATTTACTTTTGTTTTAGGGATCCCTAAAGTGAGAAAAAATTACCTGGGTTCCGCGAATGACTTACATCTATATTTTATATATAGAATTATATATTTCTTTCAAGATGATCCTGGCAAAAGTATTTCAAAGGATGACGTTTCTCGCCTTATCAGGGTAAAGAATGAATCCTGCATAGGTACTTTGGCAAAATAGGTAGAGCCTTGTGAACCCCCTTTCCAGATGTACTATCGTCTCAGGATTGCATTTCTAAGAATAATGGTTAGTCCAACACTTAGTGAAGTGTGATGGTTTGATTCTTGAGGAAAGACATGGGCTAATTTTTACCGCGATAACCGACATACACACAAAGCTAGTTATGTATTTAGCAAATTAATAAACATGGCTTCCATTCGACTAAAATAGGATAACAATAGAAGTAACTAAATATATGTATGTATGTATGTATGTCCGTGTGGTGACGGATTAAGAATACAAATTGTCACTACCCCAATTCATCCCGTGGGTGTCGTAAGAGCCGACTAAGGGAGCAAACTAAGCAGGACAACAGCACTGCAAAGAGAAGGAAAACTTGAAACAAACCCTTTTTTTTTTTTTTTTTTTTTTTTTAAACGTGTGGAAATCCCCTCGGACCGTCACCCCTCCGGGGTTTGCGGCGGGGTGGTGTGTCGGACTCGGACCGACTAAAACCACACGGTGTGCCACTCTGCGCCTGTAACAGGAGGGATCCGGGAACAGCTGTTGTTAAGACATCCGGACCCCTCCTAGCGCCAGCCCGCTCCTGGTGCGGGCTCCGTCTCGATGTTGATGTTCCTCTCTTTAGGCGACGTCCGGCACACGCGGACGCCGCCCCCTCGCGGCTGGCCAAACTAATGCGGGTGGAGGGGAAACCCACCCCGTCCACCCGCGGCCACACTCAGGGCGGCATGAGGCTGTGGTAGGCGGGCCTCCGCCGCCCGGTTCGCCGGCGGCGGATCGGGGCCGAGTGGAGGTCGTCCTCCCGGGCCCTCTCCGCCGCCTCCTTCCGCGAGATTACTACCTCGCAGAAGGTTGCGACCGCGGTAAAACAACTGTCGCTACCGGCCATGGAGCGTACTACGGCCGGTAGCGAGAGATCCACTCCGATGACTGCAGTGAGGGCCCGGCGCTGCGCCGCCCATGCGGGGCAGACCGCCAGCGTGTGCTGGGCCGAGTCCTCACTGCAGTCGCAGTGGTGGCAGGCGGGACTCAGTTCCCTCCTAGCGACCGTGTGCAGGTACTTTCCGAAGCAACCGTGCCCGGAAAGCACCTGCGTCAGTCGGAAGGAAAGGGTCCCGTGCTGCCGCCCTGCCCACTCGGCGATGACCGGCTGGAGAGCCTCCACGGCGGCGAAGCCAGCGCGTGGAGTCTCCAGCCGGAACGACCAACGAGCCATCGTGGCTCGGCGAGCGGCTTCGCGCCACTCGCGCACATCCTCGGGCGGAGGGCGAAATCCGCTCTCCGCCCGGGAGTCAGCCACTCGCCGATAAACCTCGGCGAGCACTTCCGCCTCCAAATCCCACGGGGGAGTTCCGGCCAACGCGCACGCCACCTCCGTAGAAACGGTGCGGTAACCGCGTATGGCTCTGACCGCCATTACCCTCTGAGGGCGCCAGAGGCGTACCCTATTCTGGGCGGTCAGAGCCGCCGCCCACACCGGTGCACCGTACAGTGCCATTGACCGGACAACCCCCGTGTACAGCCGTCTTGTCGCGACGCTGGGTCCACCCATATTGGGCAAGAGTCGCCCTAGGGCAGACGCAGCGCCGACCAGCTTTGGAGCAAGCTGTCGGAAGTGCTCGTCGAAGAGCCACCTCCCGTCGAGGATCAGGCCCAGATATTTCATCTGGGCCCGAACCGGTACGAGGACCGAGTTGACCACGATTGAGGCGCCAGGGGGTGGACCACGACGGGGCCCATGGAATAACAGGGCCTCCGTCTTATCTAGGGCCACCCGTAAGCCCAGCGCCTCAATGCGCCCGACCACCAGGGAGACTCCCCCTGTGGCCAGGCGCGCCGCCTCTTGGAAGTTTGCCCCCCGGGCTGTCACGAGGGTATCGTCTGCGTAACAGATTACACCCAGCCCGGGGGGGAAATCGGCGCGAAGGGCCCAGTCGTACCCTATGTTCCACAAGAGGGGTCCAAGAACAGACCCCTGTGGAACACCGCACGACATGGGCCGACA